TAAAAATAAATAAATGTTTCTTTTTATTTTCATAAATTGCTTTCAACATGGTTTCCGTTTTTCTTAATTAAACGAAATAATTATAGTGCGCAGTGAAGGAACAAAACATAACTATTTCAAAACTATATATTATGAACGATACTTCAAAATGGTATTATAAAGTACTGCCTTTCCGTATGACAAAGGGCCTGAAGAGGTGGGGGGTTGTGACGGTCACTTTATACCAGTGCTTCCATTTTCAAAATCAAAATTTCTCATTTTTGTCATCAAAATTTCTCTAAATTCCTTAGATTGTATACGTTATTTCCTTGAAAATTCCTTGAAATTTCATTAGGCGGTTTGCAGACCTTTGCAGTGCTTTTGTAGCAATACAAAGGGACAAAGGATTTAATCAATTTTAAAGGCACAAAATAGCACAATTAACAAAGATAATTGCTAGCTAAAAAACCATAAGACCAATTGCGAAACTTAGTGGCCGCGCCTTCATACTGCACGAGAACGAGGCTTATTATGCAAAAACAAAACAATTTCTATACTTTTACATAGCGAAAAGTGAATTTTAGGGTTTTTAAAGTGTTTTTTCTTGAATCTCTTTGATCTTTTCTTAATATTTCGTGCTAGGTTATATAAATATTTGTTAAATTTATCTAAACATCGATTTCCCACTATATTTTTACCCGCTTTGGAGAGATATTTCGTTGTTGTTTTAGCATGCGATGGGACAAACATATGGAAAAGATCAATCTAGACTTTAAAATCTGATCAAGATGCAAATAAAATAGCCAGTATAACTTAACAAACTAAAATATAACTCTTTCTACCCAGATTTTTTTAGACTTCGTGCGAGAAAAAACGATTTTGTCAAAGGATAATAACATAAAATTTCTACAAATTTTGCCCGACATTTACTTTCATATTTTTAAAGTTAAAATCGAAAACTTGCTATTATATTACAACTGAAACAAAATTTAATCAATGTTACAACTTATTCTTTGAAAAGTATTAATAAAACAGACGGAAAATACCTGATTCTTTCTCTGGTATAATCTGCTTCTTTTATCGGACGGCGAAAAACAGCAAAACTTTGCCTCGCACGCCGCAAAAAACAATGAAATTTGAAGTAAGACTAAATCTATGAACAAGTTTAATAAAGATTTACATAGTCAAAACGAAAATATTGAAAAAAAATGAAGAGATTACCATAAAAACGCGTCTCAAACACTGAAATTCATCTTTCGCCATATAAAAATATAGCAGAATGATTTGTTTTTGCATAATAAGCCTCGTTTTCGTGCAGTTGAAGGCGCGGTCACTAAGTTTCGCAATTGGTCTAATTTAAAATTAAATATTTGTTCAGTGAGTTTACAACATATACCTTTCGATTGATATAAATAATTAATTCACAGCGTTTGGCGCCAAAAGATACCAAATCCTGTCGCTCAAAAACTTTCGGAAGTTTTCGGAAACACGAGGAAAAAGTTAAAACCAGATTTTTAATTGAACATAATTGATAATTCACTCAAAAATTCAAGAAATAGCGAAACATTCTTCTGCACTAATGCACTTGGATGAATATTTAAGTTGTTGGGAAAAAATCCTTAGATTTCCTTAGATTTTTTCTCTTCCTTAGATTTTCCTTTTCGACACTAGAATTTCCTTAGAAAAGAAAATTTCCTTGAAAATGGAAGCACTGTTTTATACTAAATCCCATTCCCCAGCCACTTTCAGTTTTTTACCAAATCCCCTACCTCCTCAGCAGGCCCTAAGAGTATCCATGAGCAGGTTTTTCACCTAGGTGTTTACTCAATATTCTGTTTTCAATAACTTCACGAAGTTAGGAAGTAAAAGGTTTGAAGTCTATAAATACATATCATGGGGGCTTGCGATGTTACGGAGTTGGGCTACTTTTAGTGCGGTGGTACAGTGTCTAACAGTTGCGGTGTTGCGGTGACAGAAAAAGGCGCGGTGTGCGGTGATTCTGCGTTTTACCTTACGGTGATACGGTGAGATGATATTATTTCTGTACTGATAGTTTTGGTCAGTTTTGCGGTTAAATCCACATAAATGAAATTGACCTTGAAATGAAGTTTCAATTTTGAAATCACTATACGACTGTCTTTAGTGATATATATGGGTTTTAACGAGATTTTGTTGCATGGATTTTGATGTACATAAATTTCCACTCGATAACAAGATCATTCAACTACATATGGGTTTCCATTGTTGTGTCTGTCATTCCCAGTAACCCAAATCCCATTTTCCAGTCCACAAATACGCAAATCCCAGCAGTGTGCCTCCTCCGCGGCAAGGTGATTATCGGGAATATTCACCGAGGCGAAGTCGAGGTGAACAGTTCCCTGATAATCACCGAGCTGAGGCAAATTAATTTTTAATCGGTGTCATTCAGCTATTTTATTTTTCCTATCCAAATCCATGTTTTGCCGCCTGAGATTCAATATTTTGCCGACTACCTGATGACTGGGGGGTATTCCACCTACCACACCCTCTCCCCTCTAGCGCCGGCCCTGGCGATGCTTTCTAACACGACAAACGTGATAAAAACGATCGGTCGGTCCTTCATTAATCCTAGCACCACGAAGAACCAACCACAAAAAGACAATAATGTAGCTCACTTTAGGCGAAACTCTTATATCCTCCAAAAGGACGACTTCTAGTTATCCGACGTTCTGTGCTATAATTTGTTTGAAAGTCTTGAAAGGCCAAACGAAATATGGAAAAACCTAAGAATTTTAGTAATTTTTACAGAGCTCGGCGGCGCGCATGCAGCCAGCGCTGGTACGTCGCTTCTCGCGGTATTTTGACTGGGGCCGCATGAGAATTGCGAAAACTCCCATGCAAACTTTCGCGTACCAACTCTTTTAATACTTCAGGCTTTCGACTTATATTGTCTCAATTATCAATTTATCATTATATACAATTGATCAATTATAGAACGGTCCAATGCTACAAAAAAAAAACTACATAATGACAAGCACGCTAACTTTGGTGATCTTTGATCTCTCAGTTCGATCAATTCTATTTTCTGTGATATTGTTGACGTCGATCAGTATGCATGGTTCCGACCGATTCTGTGGTTGGGAAAGAATACTGTTCCTGACCAAACAAAATACGTGCAAATCGTGCTAACTGGCAAACATGGACAAAATATGAACAGCTAGCAAATTAAGTGAATGAATATTAGAGATTCAAATAAAAACATCGTTTTTAACCACTATAGTTTGCACTTTTAAAAGGCAAGCCTCCCCCCCCCCCCGCCCCAATTATTCTTGGTCCGGCAGATTCTACTTAAAAATCGGGCATTTCTACTGAAAATCAGGCAAATGATTAAAGGGAGCGCGACGCGTGTTAAAGTCGTCTAGAAGGAAGGAAAAGGAAATGTAGGAAGTTTGACGAAAACGATTTTGTATTTGTCAAGCAATTTTTATCAACGTCGGGCAAAATTTTGTCCGCCCCGTAATTTTTCCCTCCTGTTCGGCGGGTGTAAGGGGGAGGGGCGGGGGTCGGCCTTCGAAAGAATTATTAGAGTACGTGGGAGAACATAATATTCTTCGCTGTCTCAAATGCAAACTTATTACACATTGAATACTCGTGATTCCCCGTTACGTGGTTTGCAATAATAGTTGTTGTGGGGTTAGGCTTTTTAACCGTAGATCGAGTATTTTGAAAGTCAAATCTTCCTCCGGATGTAGGAAATGCCATTTAAGAAACTTTGGATTTCAACATTTTCTAGGGAAAGATGTCCACGGAATCGATCGACCCCTTCCCTACCCTACCCAACCATCATTCTGCCACCTATGTAAATGAAGAGTCCATCATAGTTTACAATCTTTAACGTTAAAAAGCTAATTCAGGTAAAATGATTTTACTAAAATCCTCGATCTGAACCCCGCCTGCTTCTTACCACCCTGGTCAGCAGACAGTGTAGACTTGGCCCCGCATCCATTATGCTAATATATTCTTTCGAAAGAAGCACGTGCTACTTGAATCAGTTGCGAGGCTAGAGGTCATGCGCTGGGCATGAGTAATAATATAATATCCCTCTAATCACACAATTTTTTTTGTTTTTCTGTTTGCGTGAATTTCCGATCCTGAAATCGAAGAAATGGCCATTTCTGACTTCTAATGCATGCCCCCGACTGCCTCAGGATATGCGGATCTTAAACCATGAAGAGTCCATCATAGAGTCCATCATCATGAAGAATCCATCATCATCAAATTTCCTCAGCCTCGGCATGGACTTGAATGTACTCATGAAAAAACTACACTGAATTTCAAACACTTTGACGTAACGTAAAACGTAATTCTAAAAATCAGGTAATTTTACCCCTACACCTCCCCTTCAATGACAAAGTCTTCGCTACATTTATCTACTGGATTTTTTTAAAGCTCAATATGACTATGTTTCCCACCGAATTAAATTGTCCAGTATTCTGCAACCTGTGTACATCAAGCACACAACTTGCCTTCGACTACCGGTTGTCATAGGTGAGTTGTATGCTTGATTTACACAGTACAACTCAAGTTGTAAGCAAGGTTGGATGTGACAGTTTTAGGCAAAAATTGCATAGTGTAAATCGGTCCACCCCCCCCCCACGCCCTCCCCCCCCAAAAAAAAATCCTGGCGGCGCCACTGTCAAGCAGAAAGTAGCTTTTAGGGCAGAATTGAATATATAATTTTCATATTCAAAAGCATTGAAAAATAATGGTGTGAAAAGGGTTGCAGTTTTTGTATTGTTTGAATGCTCAGGGCTTGGACCCAATATATTTGTAAATATTTGTAAATATAAGAATAAGACTAAATGTGTGTCTGATTTGGGTTTTACAATCCAACATTGCAACTTGCAATCAAATGCACATGTACAAAACTAGTACAAAACTATTCGTGTTGTATACAATAACACGATATATAGTCAGAAAATCTACTCACTTTCATTTTGGAACTGTATGGTGATATATTTCATAAGTAACATAGTAAGATTTAACAGTCCAAATCTACTCAGTTTAGATGTGGTTATATATATACTAAAAGTTAGTCATGCTTATTTAATGCCACGGCAAGTGATAAATGTCTTAATTAGTTTGTCTGGTTATATACTTATTAATAAACTTATGAGATTTACTTCTTATTCCCAGTGTTCAATCTGGTGCTTTAATCATCATAAACCACGGTGGCACTCCGGCAGAAAAAACACCACCAGCTACAAACACCCCTTGCCATACGACGTTTGCTCACATTGTTGCCACCTGGAAATTCTTTTGCACATCGATTTGGATGGATTTCCAAACCGACGGTACAGCTCTTTGTTTTGCGGTCACCGATGCGACTTTGGACCTCTTTCACGGTGGTTGAAGCGAGTTTTGAATTTCTCAATCCCTTCGGCAAGCGTTGTTCCAAAATACTTTCCCAAAACATGACTCGTGAGCAATCATCTGTCTTTCTGTAGTAAATTGTTCTTTTTCTTGTGATTCTGCCGTTTTCGTCAGTTTCAGTGGAGACTTCCACAGTTTTGATGAATCCTTGCTCTTCCAGATCTGCTTCCTTTAGGTATCCTCTCATTTTTTCTTCTGTTAACTTCACGTTTTCATCGAAAACTCGAACCACGTCAATTTCTCCGCCATGCACTGCAAAAGGAAAACAAAGAGAACATTTATTCTTTCCGTCACCTTGATAGAAACGGCTCTCCTAATATAAATGAAGTTAGTTTAGGTTTTTCATGTATAGGTTTTCATGTATACTTTCGACCAGTCCGATTGCAAGAAAAGCAATAGCCACTTCACAATTTCTATTAATAAGGAATGACTCTTTCGGGATCTCTATGGAGAACAGTTAGGTACCTGAAATAAAGGATAGCTTATATACTCGACCTGATAGAATAATTTTTATATTTAATAAGTTAGTTTAGTTAAGGTTTAGTCCTCCTGTGACTGGTAGAACAAGCTATTTAAATTGTGTGACTTGATATAGTATACCTTGTTGTTAATACAACATACAATATCCGCTATACCTGAGGAGGCGAAAACCTGCAGTACAATTGCCACCAAGAGGATTGACTCCATCTCGAAATGTCTTCGGACTTGCTTCAATTATTTCGTCTTCGCTTGAATGTCCAAGCAAAAATGCCTAACTTGTTCAACATCCCGCATTTTATGCGTTTGTTTTCACAAACACCTAGTTATTGTTTAAACTTTGAACAATTGCAATGCTGAAGGAAGATGATGAACTCTAAATTTATTTTTAACATCCTTGAGAAGTTAACTGTATCCTCCTTGGTCAATGAAAAATTTGAATGATTCTTGCTTGGACGTGACAATGGTCGTTCTATTTTTACACCAGGTACTAATTAAGTCTTCAAGTCTTCAATTTCCGCCAATCCTATAATTTAATTGCTGCGGAGCGAGCGAGCCTGGAGCGAGTGAGCGTAGCAGCAGCCTAATATGTGCAGAGAGGGGGTTTTGAACTAAATATTATTTAGCGCATGGAACTGTGGTCGTGCGCGCTTTCTATGCGCAGAACACAAATTTTAAACTCGCTCGAGTCTTCGAATTTTTATCGAATTTCTAAAGCTTTTTCAAGTCTAATGTTACGCTTACATTTGTTTTGGACTTTGGCCACTGTCAGTTCTATATTTTTATAAAGTTGTGGTTTCTTAGTGTGATAAATCTGTGTAGCAGTAAACAGACTTGATATGAAATCTGATCTTAATTTACCTGTATGTCAATGAGACCACAGTTTATAGACTGCGGTCTCAGTAGTTCTATGCTGTGGTTCCATTCACAGCTCACTAGTCGCTGCGAGTAATAACTGTGCTTGATATAATTTGTGCTGTTTATTGTAGTTCTATTTGCTTTTAATGCCCGCGGCAATCTACCTTGCAGGTACCCTAGTTGATAATTATTTAGTTACAATATTATAGGCTTATAGCAATGAAATTTCGTCCCAAACGTCAAGGTTGTATAGAAAGAACGCAATTTAGACAATAAACTTGTTTCGTTGATCGTTGTTGCATGAGGTAGCTATTATTATAAGCATGCATGCAAACATGACAGACGCACTCCATGAATTTGGAAACGTTTGCTTTGTTAAAGTGCCTCAAAATTGTTTTTTTATGCGAAAGATCTTTAGTTTTCTTCAAAGTTAAAGTTGAGTTTCTTTTAAAATGAAACCAATATTATATGTGCAATAAGTCAATCGGAATAGGTACATCGTGTTGACAATAGAGGTTTTAATAGACTTTGCCCTTTGCTTAGATCTTAATTCTACTGATATCGATATATCTATTTATTTACATAGCTTAAATAGCAGAAATACAAATGGTGGTGCGGGTTGCAGCACAACAGCGATGATATGCACCGATAAGGCCCTATATCAGTGTTAGGGTAAATTCCGACAACAGACGACATTGCTTTGAAATGGCGACATATAGAACACGAATTAGCGACACTGGATATGAACTCAGTCTAAATTGTGACAGCGACATGAACAAAGTCAAAGAGGAAAACAATAATGAAATTCCGAAAGTGAGGTAGTAATGTTTTCAAGCGGCAACATTACATAAATTACATTGTTTTGAAATTAGACGAGCGACATGCATATACCCACCCTAATACAGTAATAGGGCCTCCCTGATGCATCAATAATAACAAGATAGAAAGCTCTACAGGTTTCATTCATGAAAACGAGGCTCTATAGGTCAGAGCGATGTAGCTTTCTCAAGAGTGTTATTAGCAGCTGTATTTGTAGCCTAGAAAACAGCTGATTTACTACATGACTTTTAATTTGAATTTTAATCAATATGTCCATCTTTGGCACAGAAATACAATGGATTTACAATGTAAAATATATAAATACATATATATGTAAGCCTAATGAAAGGTGTAAAAAATTTCAAGTTGAAAAACTATTTAAATACAGGGTGGAGCAAAAAAAAGTACGACTGTTTGAAATGCTGAAAAATCAAAACTAAAAGAACAATGACACTAAAACAAGTTTATTGGCATTCAGCGATATCCAACTTAAATTTTGATATGTGCCATGCACATTTCGATGCCATATTGACAAAGATACATGCATTTAAACAGGTGTAAACATTTTGGGAACTGACGAAATTAGCTAAAAATGGCTTATTAAATATTAATGCATACAACATGCAATAACTTGTGTTGAGACACATTGCGGTGCCCGTGCCATTTTTGGCACCGCATTATATTGCGGTGCCCAAAGTTTGGCACCGCATTATATTCTGCCTGTGAGTTTGTCCGTTTGTTTGTTAGTTTGTTCGCATCCAGAGGGACACGCTGGGGCCTTTCGTGGAGTGGCCAAAATATTTCAAACAATTTCGTTAAAATTTTCAACGAATTGTAGCTGTTTTTTATGGATTTTGCATTGTGTCTAACTCTAGACATTCTTGCCAGTTTAGTTAATGCGTTTTTCTTGGTGCACGACTCTGAAAATCCGAAATTTGGATCGTCGAATTCCCGTGCACGATCATAATATACTGAATCTGAATATAAACGAGCCAAAGGCAAAGACAATTTCAAGGTAAAATTATAACTTACAGTAAACTACACAACTTACTTTTACTGTAATAGATAACTACTTTACGAAAAGCATATTGGTGTCATATCAATATAAAATTTATCCAACAACAGTCCCTATATTAAATAGTTGTTAATAGCTGTGGAAACGTGAAAACTGCAGTTAGTGTGAAATATATTGTATTTGTAATGGCTAATGGCGCAATAAGCGGATAAAAATACCAACGTTCGATTCAGCATAAGAAATTGTACTTACGGATGTCAAATGTATTACTAAACAACGGTATTCTAGCGATTTATGGCCATTCAAAATCAAGCGAAATTGTATTGTTTACAAATCGTTTGCAATACGTATTCATGTTGACACTCAGTCGCAGTATGTTTGTCCTTGACCTTGTACTAAGTTGTAATGCCTAATGGCGCAATAAAGATAAAAAATACCAGCGTTCGATTCAGCGTAAGAAATTGTACTTACTGGTGTCAAATGTATCACTAAACAACAGTATTCTAGCGATTGATGGCCTTTATCTTTACAGTAAAATCCACGCGAAATTGTATTGCGAACGAATCGCTCAAAATTATTCAACTAATTATAAAAAATGCAGTACGTTTGATCCTTGATAACTTTGGTATCGTTGGTTTTCTCTTTTTCGGCTGTATTCCAGTGGATTTATCTCACTTCTCTCTTCATTTTGATAGTATTTTGTACCCAAAGGCTCCAAACTATTTTATTTTTAACGTTTTAAAGCGCTGTTTATAAATCCTAGCTGGTGGACTAACGCCGGGAGTTTTGTTTGCATAGGCCGCATTGGTACTGTGTCTGATTGTATAAAATCATGAGCTGGGCTCATTATATTAACAGAAACTTCAAAACTGAGCCACCTACCTGCAATACAAACCTAGCCAATTTGAGAGCGGCAGCACTCTGCCCTTGACAAGCAAAATCGACTGGTATATAAGACATTAAAATAATAAAGTAGGTTGCATGATAGACAGAGCACTGTTACATGTTGATATAGTTCAAAACAAAACTGTAGCTGAAAAGTTTAATCTTCAACCCTTTGTCGCTCGTATTCGACAGTTCCGCTTAGCTCGGGACAACCAAGGGACAACCATAAATCTTAAGTGAAACAACTGTGTACTGCATGCATGTATGAATCATATACGGTTATGTGCGTGTTTGTACGGTGTATAGCCCCAGCGAGTTAACGCTCTATAGAGTGTCTTGTTCATTATTGTTTTGTTCATGCGACTTTCCATATATTCACAATGGATGGCGAGTCTGTTTATCAATGGTTTATTACAAAATGGCGTCGTTAGTACAGAATAATAATGAGCATTCACTGACGTCACCGGAGCAAAAATGCACCGGTAATTTTGGCGCGCTTGCGGGTGACAAAAGTCCGTAGCTTCCAGGAACCACGAACCGCGGACTTTGGAAAGTCTATGTAGCGTGCTAAATATAACTTTACTTGTACATGCAGGCGGAAACGCCGAAACTTTTATTTGTAGGCGGGCACCGCATTTTAGTACTGTGTCTGGTTACACTTTATTGTCACTACGTTCGCGCGCTTGTGGTTAAAAAACAATCGTCTATATTCGTCAGTAAATGCATGTCCCCCACCACGAATGCAACGTCTTGCCCGTGAATTCATACAATCGAAAGAATTTTGGACATTTGCTGTTTCATGTTGGGGCATGCTGTAACAATCGCTTCACGAAGCTCTCTCAAATTGTGCTTCAGAACCGGAGTTATTTGAATCGCCGCGCATAGACTTGTCCCAATTAGTTGGAGGTACTCTCTCGTGTCGAGATTTCTTTTAACAAAGTTTGGACCCAGAACAACTGACCTCGTCAAACCAACCCACTAATTGAAACAATAATCGCAAGAAAATGGTAAAGGTTGTTCAATTGGTTTTAATAGGGCCTTTTCAGCTAATTCTCGGCGGTTCCAAAAATGTTTGTTTAAGTTTAAACACAGTTATCTCAGTCAATATTGCATGAAAAGGTACAATACATATATCAGGCAAAATTTAAGTTAAACATCGTGGAATATACGGTGACTTATTTACGTGCAATAGCTCTTT